CGACCGCAAAGTCACGAAACCGTCATGCGATACTTTCGTCGCAGCCGCAAGATGGCCGCGAGCATCTGTCGGTTTGTCGCTCTTTCCTTTTAAATAACCCTACTTTGATACAATTATTTGCATCATTGTTGCGGTTGACGTTTATTTAGGGGAACACTTTCGTTACAACGGAAAACGCCTTGAGGTATGTAAATTGCTGAGAATTATGGCGACATATTTAACTAAACACACAATAAAATTTGTTCTTGCTTGCTTCATCTTCACTTCATGTTTTTTTGGCTAATATAATATATAATATAATTGTTCTAAGAGTGTTATAGTTTTTAATATCCATTTTGTACCTTAATACTTTACCAAAAAACCTTTAAGAATATATTTTAGGTAATAATTACGTTGTAGTAAATATATACAAATAATATCCCTTTAATAATCCCTTAAGTTACGGGTAGTGCCGTTTCCGACCCGCTGGCTTTTTTTTTATAGGATAGGGTGACAAACGAGCACACAGTCCACCTGATGATAAGTAGTTTCTGCGGCCCATAGACATCTACATCTATCATCGATTACGAATCAAAATGCAGATGCGTTGTCACCCGTGAGGACTAACATGGAATGCCTCGTTTCCAGCAGTGGACTTTTGAGAGGCTGTAATCAATTAATGACTGAATATGATTAGTAATTTCACTAGGTGGCAGATTGCCTCGTTGATCTAGTTGTTGTATTAGTGTGATTCCTGATCATGAAATCATGGGTTCGAATCCCAGAACGCGCCAAAAATCAATTATTGAGTTTTTCCGTCAAGAAATTCTCAGTAATCAATTATTGAGTTTTTCCGTCAAAAAATTCTCAGTAACCCCCGTGCTTTGGAAAGCACGTAAAGTCGTTTGTTCTCCTGCGCCTGATCTCTCTCCGATCGTGTCGGTTTACCGTATCATCGGATTGTGAGAGTGAGGGAATGGAGAGTGCAACTATGCTTGCGCATACACTTGGGCACTATAATCCTGTCCTGCATCGAGGGCTAGTCTGCGTTGAGGCTTGCTGCCATGACCAAAATTCGGTCTGAAGGACATTATTATTAGGTAATAAGATTTCTCTTTCCGTGCGCACGTCTAGATAAATACCATACTCTTCATCAATTTCCAACGCAGTAGTGCTTGCGCTTTTGTATTTCGATCTGAAAGGTATATAATATTTTAACCAGTATAATTATAGGCTGTGAGGCATTCCTTATTATATATTTATATATATTCTTAGTCCTCAGAAGTCGCAATCAACAACGCATCTGTAGCCTTCTATGTTTGAAGTAAGATGCAGCCAATCTCAGTCTTAACCCACGGATTTATTTTTACACAATTTACACCCAAAACTTTTACACTGAAGTTTCAGTTTAAACACGAGCTTGTATTTGAATAACGGCCTTAGTTATAGCAATGATCGGTTCTTACCTTACCAATAATTTATGAATTACAGCAACTTAATCATATTGATGAAAACGATCTTCCACTTAGATTTATCTCTATTCAGTATCAAATTTCAAACAAAATCAAATTACCTACAACGTAACGTGTTGTAACGTGTTTTATTCTAAGCCTATGAAAGGATTTTAAGTAAAATAGATCTACACCTTTTGGATAAGACAAACAACGTTGGATACATCGAAGAATAAAGCGAGAAAGAAGCGCGGAACAGAATGTTGTGTAGGTGTGAGACAGCGGGACTAGTTGCTCCATAACTCTCCTATGAATGAGAGGAGGCCTGGTTCAGTTAAGTTTCTGCATAAATTCTGTAACTTTCCTTTCTTTAGTGAATAGCCAAATAATATAATAAGCACTTATCGAATATCATTTCATTTACTGCCAAACTTTATTATAACGATTCGGCTTTCATTTCAGAGAAGGTTTTAGGGCAAGAAAGTGTCCACCGCGCTGCTCTAATGCGTGTTGGTGTTCTTTACGTGCCTTCAAAATATTTTATTTTAGTTTTCAGACGTGCAGCTTTCCTTACTATGTTTTACTTCACCGCCGACAACGCGGTAAATCAGCACCTAAAATCGCAGTGAACCTGAAATCGCATTGTTGCCGGCGGGGATCATCCCGGGCTGCTTCCGTACTGTGTTTACGACAAGTGCTTAACGCTTGAGCTACCACGGATTAGTGGAATATATTGAACACCAACCGAATTATACATATTATTATATTTATAAGTATTATTTATATTATTGTCCGCGTAGCCATAGTGGAGCCCATATAGTCGATGTCTCAATAGATCCTCACATCCGATCTTACGAACTAAGATAGCGCTATTATCAACATAAATTTAAATCGTCCGCCATGCCTTCACTCAGTATTATTTATGTGACTATTTATTGTATTAACATAAATTGGACATGAGTTATTTTATTAGCCCGAATACGTCGAGAATGCGACAGCCAAAGTTCATGATAGTAATTTGAATTTGTCATAGCTCGTAAAATTAAAGTTTCTTCGTGGTTTATTATTAAATTTGATTCGGGAAAGAAGGTTGAGTGATTGATAAAATTATACAAATGTCACGAAATCAGAACAAATGTCTCTAATTATGTTTGCCACACGAAAGTGAATACTAAATGTATTTTTTTATAGAAGTAGAGGCAAACAAGGTTGCAGCTCACCTGATGGTGACTGCCGCTGCCTATGATCAGGGAATTGCTTTTAAAAAGGCGCAGGCTCGTTTCTCGAAACAAAAATTGCTTGTGGTGAATTCTATAAAGAAATAGTGCGATAAAGAATTTCTTTAATTAAGTAGCAGAGTATTGGACCACCTAACGGATGATGTGAATGGTATTGTGAATTTTGTGGCGATGTGCGATGACAGAATTTGACGACTTTTTTAAATAAAATGTATACATTTAAAAATGGATTTAAAAAATTACTGCCGTTAAAGTAAGGTAGTAATCGACAGAACAACGGAGCTGAAATGTCGATATACAAATAATGAAAATACAATAAATTTGTTTTAATAAAGCATGCATACTTACATAGTAAAATTTTAGAGAAATGTTAATTCAAAAATAGATTATCCGTTGACCCAACACTAGGCCAGGACAGTCTTGTGGTGGTCTAATTTATATTTTATCAAAAGCTAATTGTAATTTGATTTTATTTTATATTAGTAAATATGATGTAATATTATATTAGATTTAAATATAATGTATTAATTATAAATATTAAATAACATAAATAACACACTCGCGTCACACGTAATACGCGAGTCCTCCAAATGCGCGTCATGTAACCTTAAAACCCGAGAACGGATATCATATGACAGCGTAGGCCTACTACGAGTAATCTGGTTGGAGAGACTACCTTATGAAACATGTAGAGAGCCAGTGGATTCTAGACTATTTTCAGCCGTGGTTAAATTTCAATGACGATGATGATAATGTGATAAAGAACAACTTAAGCTTAAGCGTAAGAGTATTTTATTCCTACTTAAAAAAAAGTCTGTATATTTTTACTATTATATTCTGGGATAACTTCTCTATTTTACGAACTGATTTGAAATATTTTATTAAATAAGTTATATTGTAGGGGTACTCCTGTATATATATATATATATATATATATATATATATATATATATATATATATATATATTTTAAGAAAAAGAAACCACACCTTAGGGTGGACATTTCTGAATGAAGTTTTTATTATATATATTTTGGGTTTTATTTATTCGATAAATGCAAATTATTTTATTTGTTTAGTCTTTGGAATTAATTTTAGCTCGTAAAAGTCAGATGTGGGATTTGAGCCATTCCCACAGTAGCATGGATTTGTCGTAACCATCATGCTCGCAGGCCGATTTGCGATCTCTGAATACAGATGTTTCCCACTTTGCTCATGATATTCATCCGCTTCGCCGGTCTAAAAATTTTATATCTGTCATATATTAATTTTTTAACTATTTTGCAATGTCCGTTTAGTACACATCTTAGGACTGCGAAACACTGTAAAAATCACTATTTACAAACTTGTGACATTAGGTTATAACCAAACGCACGTGTCAATCGTTATCTTATCTTAATTTTTAAATAAACTTCAGTCATTTTATTGGTTTATAATATATTCCCTATTGGTTATTTAAAAGTGGTATATACGAGAAGGCGATGTTACAGTCCGATGTTCAGCCGTTTATTTAGTCGGCGAGTGTTTAAGAATTTAGATGAATGCCAGTGTTTAACTAACGGCCTAGGTGTCCAATTAGTTGACTGAATAAATAACTAATCGTTGGTTGGTTGATTGGTTTCGATAATCTTTTACGTCAAGTGTAAGAGCAGTTGAGCAATTGACGTGGCGAATTGTAATATTGTTATATGAATATCCCCAACCCTCACCGCCCCGTGGGTGTCGTAAGAGGCGACTGAGAGAAATTAATCGGGAGGTGCGAAACAGCGTCTTTCTAATAACAACCAAAAGTAAATTGCAATTGCGAACTCGCCTTTTATAAAGGTAACGAAGCAATTGAAAATCTAATTACAAGTAATATACTGGTTTATTATAGTAACTGTAAAAGCAATAATTGCCGCGAGAAACTCGAGGATTCCTTACATTGCAAATTGCAAAATAATTTGCATATCCCGGCCCGGTACTGGAGTACATAGCAACGAGCTCGGTGTATTTAACCCTCTCACCGCCATTCGGTCCGCCGGCGGGTATGTATGTTTTCGAGTAAGTCACGCCATCTATATATTGCACTTAGCTAGATGAGCATGCCATACTGGCCGCCGGCGTACCGCATCTTTCGCGCCAAAATCCTAACTAAATGTTTGTTATTACCTACGAGCACTTAACCCCAGTTATTACAAACAATATTTACCGAGTCTGTCACGCCACACCTACAAGCAATCACTAGCCCGCCGGCCGCCCGCACGGCTTGTAACGGTCGCATTTTCGCGCGCTTTTTGTGGAATCTCTCTGCATTATTGTGCATTTCGGTACTTATACTGAGTTTTTATCATTATGTCGGACTTAGAAGATGATCCAGACTGCCAGCCGTCTACAGACGAAGAGTCGGAGAGGGAGAGTAGGTGTTCTGATCATAGTTCATCTAAAGAAAGCACAGAATTACCTGCAAAGGGACGCCAACAACAAGACAACAACACAAGATCTCAGAGGATGGTGGATATACCCTCATCAGATGGCTCAAGAAAAAAGCAGTTTCCGTTTACAGCTGTTCCAGGTATGAAGAATATTCATTCAGATTGTCAAAGTGAATTAGACTTTTTCCGTTTATTTTTGGATGACGAAATTAATGATTACATAAATAATATAATAATAATATTGGGTACATATGACCAACTCGTACGCATCAAAAACACAGATACTTAGACGTGTAACACGGAATAGTCGATAGTCTAAGTGGTACGATTGTGATGCTGCCGAAATGAAGAAATTTCTTGGCTTATTGATTTGGATGGGGCTCAAAAAACTGCCAAAAATAAATGATTATTGGAGTACGGATGTATTATATGAAAACAATGTTGCGAAAAAAGTGATGAGTAGAAACCGTTTTGAAATATTAATTCGATGTTGGCATTTCGAAGATGCTTATTTTGTTGGCATGTCAGGAGCAGATCGACTGATAAAAATAAGACGTTTCGTAGAGATTCTTTCAAACAAATTCGATTAATACAAAACACCTGGAGAATTTCTTACTATTCATAAAACAATGGTATCTTTTCGTGGCCGGATTGCTTTTATGCAGTACATACCTGGAAAGCGACATAAATATGGAATAAAGTTATTTAAAATATGCGACGACGATGGATATACCTATGATTTAATTGTATATGAAGGAAAAAAGACCACGACATCGACACAAAACATATCCTGTGAAATAGTCATGAAACTCAGTGAAAAGTATTTGAATGCCGGAAGAAGTATCGTAACGGATAATTACTACACAAGTGTAACTTTGGCAAATAATTTACTACAGCAAAACTCTCATTTATTGGGAACTCTCAGAAAGAACAGGAAAGGGCTGCCAAAAGAAATATTAAAAGAGAAACTGAAGAAAGGCGAGACCTGTGTAATGGAAATAATGATGGAGTGTTGGTTTTACGATGGAAAGATAAGCGTGATGTGTTGGCTCTATCAACTCGGCATAGATCTGGTTTTGTCAACGTGCGCAGCAGGAGAAACCGTAAAACAAAGTGACTATGAAAACAACCCTGATAGCGGACTATAAAAGTAAAGTAAAGTAAAGTTACAGCCTATATACGTCCCACTGCTGGGCACAGGCCCCTCTCATAGCGGACTATAATCGTCATAAATGTTCTATTGACTACTCAGATCAAATGGCTAGTTATTCTAATCCAGCAAGGAGAAGCTTGCGATGGTTCCAAAAATTAGCTATAGAGCTTTTATTTAGCACATCTTCGATCAATGCTTTTATTTTGTTCAAAACTTCCAAGAACTTGACGTCCAAAAAATATACCATAACAACATTTAAGGAAAATGTTTGCCGTGCATTGATGGGTCTTGACAAACCAAGAAGACAAAATAACCAGAGTTGCTCAAATGGACACCAATTTGGAAAGTTTCCGTTGGTCAACCATCGTAACCGAATAGCCAGAAGAAGATGCATCCACTGCTATGAAAAGAAGAGCGAAGAAGGTTTGACAAGCATAGAAGCATGTAAAATAACTAAGAAAGTCAATACGGTATGCTTACTCTGTCCATCAAAACCCAGTGTATGCTCAGAATGCTTTGCTTCAATTTATGAATAAATCTAAGTTCCTTTAATTTTAAGTTGCTTTTTTATTTCTGTGATTAATCCCCTAGTAATCCTCTAATGAAAAGATACAGACATATATTTTTTTTTAAATTGTAGGTAACAAAGTAAATTTTGCCTCTAGTAGCTTCTTTTTTCTGTAACAGCAGGCCATGCACTACAAAATTAATAAGAAATTGCGAGGTCATAGCGTAGAAATAAATAGTGAGTCCGCCAGCCGCCCGTATGGCGTGCTAAACTCGTTACAGATTTTCACCGCGGCCTGCACGGGTAGGTAAAGGTGCGGTCGTCGGTGGACCGCAAGGCCTGTTGTACTGAAAAAAAAATATAAAGGTGGCAGTCAGAGTGTTAATATAAATCTATTTAAATTTACAGTTCACTTATTTAATTGCTTTAACGTAACGATATCGCAATTTCTTAGTTAATTTATACAACATAGGTTTCTTACAATATAGTTTATTTTTTATTTTATTTATTTTATTTGGTTGATCAACAGTGAATACACTAAAATTAATCATTAGTAATAATACTAAGTCAATGTTTCACTATTTACAGGTTAACACAGCATGTACAGATATAAAGTTACTTATAGTATATTATAAAACAAAACAAAATCAACAATTTAGCAATAATACACCAAAAAGATTTCATTCATCATTATTGATATCAATGTCGAGCACAGTCTTTTTAATTTAGGATACAGAGGATGTGTTAATATGTGTGCACAGTAGAATATACCTCATAAACGTTGTAAAGATGTGATACTGAGTAGTGTGACTTAAGGTTTATGCTGCCTAGACGAGAAAATCTTTTTGTAATCTTAAGTGAAATTATAAGTCAGGGCAGTTTATATTTCCTATAATTCATTTGTGCAGGGAAACCAAGTCAAGCATCTTTCTGCGAGTCTCAAGGGTTGACATCTTGAAGTTAACAAGCCACTTTTATATGTATTCAGTTTTTTACACATGTTACAGCTGAAAGCTGTTTTATATATGTGTAAATTATTTTTTGTATCCTCTCGATACGATCAATGTGATTTTTGTAAGTTAGTGTCCAAACCATACAATATTCAAGGGGACTCCTGACTAGAGAGTTGAATAGTATTTCCTTACTTACTGTTCTTTTAAAGCTTTTAGATTCTCTAAATACAAAACCAAGCATCTGCGATGCTTTAAAAACTAAAAGATCAATATAATTAACAAAATTAAGTTTACGATCCATTATGACACCCAAGTCACGAATGTAGCTTACTTCCTCCAGTGCCTCATCATTTTTTTCTTAAAAAAAGAATATTAACAATGTTATAAATATTACTAAACTCGTGGTAAGCTTAAATTGCTTGTGCTACGAGTGGTTCACGCCAGTAGTCGAATGGCGGATTCGAACCCACGACCTTTTTGAGTTCGCGGTCCGCGCCCTGCCATTAGGCTACTGTCCAGTGGCAACTAGGGCTCTATTATTGAAACTGTACTGTATATTGTAAATGCTTTTGTTTCATGTAAACTTTATGTGATTACACTTTTTTACATTCAGGGTTATTTTGTTACGTGTGTCACTTGCTCAATCTATTGAGATCCTCCTGAAGGGAGGTCGAATCACTCAAACTACGAATTTTCTTGGTGGGTTTGAGATCATCAGCAAACATGTAAGTGTTGTTATTCCGAAAGCATGTGTCGATGTCATTAATGAAAAGTATTAAAAGATACGACCCTAGATGAGATCCCTGTGGGATACCGTTTACATACGTGGTCGAGCTACGCTGCTGTTTTGTGGATGCATGACTGCAGAAGGAATAAGTTGACATTTACAATACCAGCGTAAAATAACAGCATATAGTGTAAAACCGAAGAACCTTAAATGTACGTCATCCACTTTCCATCTGGTGGATTGTGATTTGTCATCACATGTATAAAATAATAAATTTAGGTGCAAAAGAAACATTCTAATTCAGCTTTGACTTTACTTGCTTTAACTATTTCGCGCATGTCCATTTACGAAAAAAGGCCGCCAAGCGTGCTGTGGTGTGGTGAAAGACGACCGCTATGTTTTTTTTGCTTATGTCAGTGTTTGTCTACAATATTACCTATTGGTAAGCGGCGATGGAGCCCTAGTTGTTAAATCACACTATATTAGCGTAACAAAAGCCTACTCACTCTTGCTTTAAAGCTACAACCAGATTGCGATCAGACGGAAAGACAGGTGCTGGCGTATTATTCTACTTCTTTGCTGTACACATTCCGAAAGACGAAGCAAACCATTTGGTTTAAATGCGTACGATGTTGACAACGGTGTGGAGATCTGCCGGTCGTCTAGAGTCCATTAGCAAAAAACATAAGTAGGAATTAATAGGAATAGGAATTAAATCATGTAATTCTGCGCAACCTCACGGACAAGTATGCTCTCTTGTAGTGTCGTGGTTCGATTAAAATTTTTAGATTTTTTAATTTGGTAATGAAATAATTTTTATGCAGTTCAGTATCAGTTATGAAAAATAAATTCAGGGTGTATATGAATTAATGAATGTTTATATTAGATCTTTACCAATAAAATTGCCGTTTTGTTGAAAGGGCCTCTTTGAACTAGACTTGAAATTCTTAATTATATGTGTATGGCATGTTAGTCCTAATAATTTTGAACATGACTTCCGAGGTAGAAGCAATGCGTCTCAAACGGTACACAATATTAATAATGTAAATACTCGTAAACCTAACACCTAACGAACCCACTGCACTTTGAACCAATGTTTAATCGCTTTCGTTCTAGAAATTTCGACCTCACAAATGAACTTCATGTCTGCCCGGAGAAGAAGGTCGATAATGGCCATTTCAAATCAAAATAATTTTTGTTTGCTAAGAATTCTTATTTCAAGTTACTTTTATTCAAAAAGATAGATATTTTTAAATTAGTCTTTGTTTAGTGATTAGCGTTGTTTTCATGGCATTTGAATCTTTTTCGTCACCATGGATACTTTTTAACGTAGTTCGAGTAATTATGAAATATGAGTACCCTCGTGGCAGCACCGCGGCACAAGCGTCACGCAAATCAACGACGTTTACGGAGCGAATATTACAAGCGAACAAAAATCTGTTATTGGTGCCAGCGTTACCGTTCTGGAAATTTCTACCAGAAAAATGAACCCCTTCATCGTCCGAAAACTTTGGTCGACAATGACGAATAAAAGGCGATTGTGGAAGCTAACACAATATTGGTTCATTTGTAAAAAAGCTTTACAAGTGGGTGCCCCACGAACTCAGTGATCGACAGCGTGGAGTACGAGTCGAGACGTGCCTTGCACTGCTCAACATGCACACAAACGAATGATTAATAATTATATAAAAATAAATTGTGTTTGACAATCGCAAGCGCTTAGGAAGTTGGTTGGATCATGATTGAGTACCTAAACAATGCCCTAAACGAAAACTTACCCCTAGAAAAGTGATGGTATCTGTTTAATGGTCTAGCGCTGGTGTGATTCGTTAAAGCTTCTTACCAAACGGGATGAGCAATACTGCAGATGTGTACTGTGAAAAACGGAACACGGTGATGGAGAAGCTCGCACGTCTCTAACCAGCTTTGGTTAATCACTTTTCCCCGTTATAGTATGAGGTCACATGTTGTTGTGCAGAACAATACTGCATAACATACGGTCTCTAAGTTACAAGACCTGGGATTGGAAGCTCTCCGTCATCCGCCGTACTCACTAGACCTTGCGTCTATAGACATCTACTTTTTTCCAGAATTTGGACAACTTTTTTGCTGGAAAAAATTCAATACCCGAGAGGCAGTACAAAATGCCTTTGGAAAATTAGTTGCCTCCCGTCCAGCTGATTTATTCAAGAAGAGCATCAATAAACTGCCACTGCGTTGTACAGAAAGCGGTCTGATAAGCCTGCTGCCACCTTGGAACCATCAGCAGACACAGGCACAGCGGAGGAGATTCTTCTCGAAGTTGTGCTGGTGGCCCGAGAGCAGTTTCAAGCAACGTTCCGATGGCGCGAACGGACGCACGTCCCAGATGCGAAGGGTGTTGTCTATTGAGTTGGATAACAGATATGAACCATCATATGAGAGGGATAGGCCAGTTATAGTATCCGTATGCCTCTTTATTTTATAAGAATTTGAAGCCTAAATTCAAAGTATTATTGGTGAAGTCTTGGTATTTCTTAGCATAAAGACTAATAATTGTTGTACTCAAGAAATATATCAATCAGGAAAGTGTAAATTTTTGTGTAAATTCTTTGATGAAAAAAGGGAATTGCCGATCTTGTGCCGTACGGGAAATGTGGGCGATGTAGTAAATAAACAAATTCATATGGAATTTGCTGTCATCGATGTAAATAGTAATGATGAAGTTTATTTTTATTTAGTTCTCTTAATTCTTCTTAGTTCTACTCTGTCTTAACGTAAGTTTGAGTGACTAGTC